TCTGCATGTATGCCTGAGTGTGAGCGTATCAGATCCCCTGGAACAGGAGTCACAGACAGTTGTGAGCTGCCATATGGGTGCTGGGAATTGAACCCGGGTCCTCTGGAAGAGTAGCCAGTGCTCTTAACCCCTGAGCCATTTCTCCAACCCCGGAAAAGCTTTTTTTAATCAAATTTGAACAATAAAAGAAGCTAAGTTTGCCTGGAGTCCACTGTGGAAGTGTTAGAATCTCAGAACAAAAGTTGTACTCTTACGGAATTAAGACAGACTGTTGTTACAAAGCTCGAATTAACACTATTCTGTAAAACTACCTTGGTTCTGTCTAAAGATTACATGTAAGAGCATTCTTCTAGATTAGCATTAGGGGAAACAACTTTTTTTTTTTTTTTTCCGAGACAGGGTTTCTCTGTGGCTTTGGAGGCTGTCCTGGAACTCACTTTGTAGACCAGGCTGGCCTCGAACTCACAGAGATCCACCTGCCTCTGCCTCCCAAGTGCTGGGATTAAAGGCGTGCGCCACCAACGCCCGGCTGGGGAAACAACTTTTTAATAATTTATTTTTATTTAATGTTCATTGGTGTTTTGCCTGTGTGGATGTCTGTGCCAGGGGGTCAGAAACCCTAGAATTGGAATTACAGTTAGGTGTGAGCTCCCATGTGGGTGCTGGGAATTGAACCCAGTTCCTTTCAAAGAGCGGCCAATGCTCTTAACCACAAAGTCATTTCTCCAGCCCTGAAACAACATAATATTTTTGCATCTGACAAATTGTAAACATAATTAGAAATGTTAGACATCATCTCTAAAGTTCCAGGATATTTCCTTTTATAATTTAATTTCTCTAATATTTTTAATTATAAGGGATATCAAAAATTGTGTTTTAGGGCTGAGGATGTAGCTCAGTTGGTAGATCGTTTGCCTAAACCTGGACAAAACCCTGCCTTCAGATCCCCAGCACTAGTTAAACCTGTATTGTGGCATTCACCTGTAATGCCAGCACTCAGGAAGTAGAGGCAAAATGATCAGAATTCCAAGGTCATCTTCAGCTACATAGAAAGTTCAAGGCCAGTGTGGGATGAGTAAGTCCCTGACCAGAAAAGAAAGCAGGAAAGGAAAGAAAAAGAAAAAAGAAAAACAAACGCACAAAAGACAGCTTTAAGGCTGAGGATATAGCTCTGTAGCTCAGTGGCAGAGTGCCAGTCTTGTGTGTTTGAGACCCTGTTATCCCAGCACTTCAGAAATGAGACCAAAGGATCAATGGTTTGAAGCCAGCTTAGGATACATAGTAAATTTCAAGCCAGCCTGAGCTACAGAATGAAACCCTGTTTCAAAAAGAATAAGAAGCAGCCGGGAGTTGATGGCACACTCCTTTAATCCCAGCACTCGAGAGACAGAGGCAGGTTGATCTCTGTGAGTTCGAAGCCAGCCTGGTCTACAGAGCAAGTTCCAGGACAGCTTCCAAAGCAACACAGAGAAACCCTGTCTTGAAAAACAAAAAGCAAAAAACAAACAAACAAAAAAGAATAAGAAACCACACGTGACGGCATATGCAATTCCAGCACTCAGGAGCAGAGGCCGGTGGAGCTCTGCGGGTTACAGGCCAGGCCAGCCTGGTCTGCAGAGAGACCAGTTAAGGCTACATAATAAGATCTTGTCTAAGAAAGAAAGAAAGAAAGGAAGGAAGGAAGGAAGGAAGGAAGGAAGGAAGGAAGGAAGGAAGGAAGGAAGGAAGAGAAAAAAGAAAGAAGGAAAAGGGAAAAGTTTATGTTTACACATTTGACATCTGTAGATTCTCAACATTTTTGATCAGTTGATACCATACTAATAATATCTGTACTTCAGACAAATTTTACTATGCACAGACAAAAGCACATTCATTAAAATTGCAACAGATCTTGGATGAGAAAAACCATAAAGATTTTGTTTCAGTTTTTTTAAGGTTTTCAGCAAATACTTTTAACAGATTACCCTTCCTGTTTTTGTCTTTTGGGATCAAACATAGGGCCTTCTTTACAGTAAACTATTCTACCACTGAGGTATATCCCCAGTCTCCAAAATTGTATTTAAAATATAATTTGTATATATATATATATACTATATATATATACATATATACATGTATGTATGTATGTTCAGGCGTGTGGGGCGGTACATGCATGTGTGTGTGCGCACAGGTGTTGTGATTGTGTACAGGTGTGTTTGTGTGTGTGTGTGCATGCGCACATGGATGGTGAGTGTGGGGCGGTACATGCATGTGTGTGTGCGCACAGGTGTTGTGATTGTGTACAGGTGTGTTTGTGTGTGTGTGTGCACGCGCACATGGATGGTGAGTAGAGGCAAGACTTTGCCTTTCAGTATCTTCCTCAAAAGCTCTCCACTTTATTTTTTTCAGATAAGGTCATTCACTAATCTAAAAGTCAATGATTTAGCTAGGCTGACTATGTAGTGAGTCCCCAGGAATCTCCCCGTTTTAGCCCCCCACCCTTTGCCAGTGCTTGGATTATAGGCATTCTCTTCTGTGCCCCTTTGGCTTCCTTCCTTCCTTCCTTAGTTTAGTGGTAAATTTTTTTTTGTTGTTGTTTTTTGAGACAGGGTTTCTCTGTAGCTTTGGAGGCTGTGCTGGAACTCACTTTGTAGACCAGGCTGGCCTCGAACTCAGAGATCCGCCTGTCTCGAAAAACAAAAAAAACAAAACAAAACAAAAAAAGCCTGAGTTAGACTCCAGCATCACACACTGACACCCACAGTTACCCTCAGACATACATTAAAAGTAATCCCAGTACTGGGAGGCAGCCCCGGGAGGATAAAGTTGAAAGCCATCTTCAGCTACATGAGACTCTTTAAAAAAACAAACAACAATGAAAGAGAAAAATAAGATAGCTTCTTCCTTAGCCCTAACACTTCTGCATTTGTTTAAATGAACAATGTATAAGCAATTTGGAAAACACCTATGAGAAAGTAAATCCAATATTTATAAACATTTAGTTTTGGTTGGAATCGGACCCATGGCAGAAGCAAATAAGCAAGTACTATATACCTTACTTTTTTATTTAAAGTAAAAGCAGTAAAGTGTGATTAGTTAAAACCAAGTTTGGGGTGGGGTTAGGGTCAGCATCACTTCTAGGAGCCTAGAACTGAACATGTAGGAGAAGTGACCAGATGTTCCCCGTACACATTCCATTGTGCCTTCAAGCCACTGAGCACAGAGTCCTCTGCCCAGCACCAGGTCAATTTCTAGTGAGCGTTGGCAGCTCAGAGATCTACAGAACATGGAGTCCCCATCCATAACTGCTCCACAGGCACCTCCAGATCAGAGCCATCTGAGGGGCATGCTGCACTGGGAGCCCAGGAGAGGGGTTCGAAGGAATGAGGGGTCTTTAGAAGGACCATCTGTGAGATCAGCATCAGAGGCACAAAGGGGCAAGAAACCCACAGTTGTACCCAGGAAGGGCGAGCCTCAGGACACAGACAGGCCAGGCCCATAGAAGTGGGTCATCTGAAGTTCAAGGCTGAGCCGAGCTGGAGGAACTGCTAGACAGGGAACTGGTGCAGGCCTCCAGCTTTAGGACTAGTGGCTCTGTGTTGCCAATCTGAGTTGGATGGTAGGGACTAAATTCCAGGTTTACAACCATCTGGAGTTTCTGGTTCTCATCCTGATAGTAACCAGGTCTTACACAGGTCAGACTGAATGGGAGTAGTCCTAGAGGAGGAGCAACCATAGTGAGGAACCCAACTCCTCTTAATTACATTTATTTGCTAAGCAATAACATTGCTTTTATAGTGGATGCTTCAATTTTGTTCTATAATAACATAAATAATGATTTTAAGTTAGAAGTTAAGATGGCAAGTCAGGGATGGTAGCCCACTTGTGTAATCCTAGTACTTTGGAGGTATAGACAAGTGGATCAGAGGTTCATCCTGAGTTACTTCAAGGCAAGCTGGTCTAGCTGAACACCCTCCTCCCATTCCCACAAAAATGGAAAGCTAAATTTGCAGCAATCAAATAATAAAATATGTTAAACCATGAACAAATCGCACTGTAGATGTTTAATCCAAGCTCACAGGAAACAGAGACAGGGGGATCTCTATGAGTCCAAGGCCAATCTGGTCTATAGAGTTAATTCCAGGACAGCCAGGGCTACCCAGAGAACCCCTGTCTTGAAAATAAAACAAAAAATACATATCTATCTGATTTGTTGTTTTTAGCACTGGAGATCGAGCACAAGATTTGGACATGCTTGGCAAGTACTATATCACCCAGCTATATCCCCAGCACTCGTGGGCCTATAATTTTTATTAGCATTTTATTTAAAAGCAAACACTAGTTATCCAAGTTGGATATGGCATATACAGTAAACACAGTACTCAGGAGGGTTCCTGCAAGTTTGAGGCCAGTTTATGGTAAATAGTGACTTCCAGGTAATCCGGTGCTATACTGCCTCAAAATAATTAATTAATTAAAATAACATAGAAAGTATGGAGAGAGTTTTCTTTGCGATCTAGTAAGTAATCAAGATTTTTTGTTATGTACCCAAGGTTGGTACGGAGCTCACAATGTTGTGCAGGCCTCCTGAGCCTGGGATTACAGGCCTGTGCCACGACATCTAGAAAGAATAACTGAATTATGAAACATTCTACAGGTCAGAATTCCTGAACAGAAAGGGATTCAAACTCAAATTTAATAACTCAAGTGTTGAAAACCACTACCACCACCACCACCAACAACAACAACAAAAAAGTTAGGTCCATGTAGTAAGTGGTATGGTAGGTAGTCTCAGTGCTCATGAGGCCCAGGCAAAGGGATTTTTAGTTCAAGACCAAGCTCGATTCCGTGGTGAGATGATGTCAGGATGTCTGGGAAAACTAAAACTAAACCAAACTAAACTAAATTAAAAGTAAACACACATGAGCGCGCGTGCATACACACGTCAAAATGCCTGTGACACCAGGCCACGGAGGCCGTGTGCAAAAGCTCATGTAACGTCACAGAAGCCGGCTAGGAAAAGCCGCCATTTCCATCTAAGCCATCCTAGGGGGTAGCCTCGGGGCTCCGTGGCAGCGGTGTGTGGGCCTGCTCACCGGAAGATCTCACCGTAGCCATGAGCAGTAAAACTTGCTTTAAGTGTGGACGCCCTGGCCACTGGGCCCGGGAGTGTCCTAAAGGAGGAACTCGTGGGCGAACACCAAGAAGTCGTGGCCGAGGTCCTCAATGCAGCTCCGCTAGCCAATCTGACATCTGTTATCGCTGTGGTGAAACTGGTCATTATGCCAAGGACTGCGATTTTCTCCAGGACACCTGCTACAACTGCGGGAAAAGAGGCCACATCGCTAAAGACTGTACCCAGGCTAAACGAGAGAGGGAGCAGTGCTGTTACATCTGCAGCCGGCCTGGTCATCTGGCTCGTGATTGTGACCGGCCGGAAGAACAGAAATGCTACACTTGCGGCGAATTCGGGCACATCCAGAAAGACTGCACCCAAATCAAGTGCTATAGATGTGGTGAGAATGGTCACATGGCGGTGAACTGCAGCAAGGCGAGCGAAATGAACTGCTACCGCTGTGGCGAGTCTGGACATCTAGCACGTGAATGCCCCATTGAGGCTACTGCTTAGTACTCGCTCCCCGAGACCCCTCTTCTTTACTACTTAGTTATGCTGTTTCTAAAATGTCCTTACCAACCAAAGGGTGATAGATGGAAGCTACTCCGAAACCACCGTAATTACCATCTTAAAACAGGAAAAGACTTGGGGGGGGGAAACCCGTCAAAAATGTTGTCATTGTGCTATTTGGTTGCCACGAAGAAATTCATTTTGAATTGGAGAGAACTGGTGGGCTCTTTGAGTATGTTTCGCTTGACACATTTAATTAGGAGTTGATAATGAAAAAAAAATCAGAACAAGTTTGGAACACCGCCTTCGAATTTACTAACAAATCTGTATGTGTGTCAGACGAAGGTAAACTGCCATGAAGCGAAAGAAGACCAACTAAAAGGATGAGAAGAGAAGCTGTACGTACTTGGAGTTGGGGGGCAAGAACATCTTGGGGACTAGTATTTCCTCAGAGACCTTTAGAGCAAATAAAACTTTCTGAAAATATGTATGGCTTTGGTGAGTTTTTAAACTTAATTTTAGTATCTTGATAGCTTTGGGTAATTGATCTCTGCCAGTTTTTTGACAGTTTGGTTTTATTTTAAAGTTTTTTTGTTTTTTTTTTAGTGTTTTTAGTCAAGAGCTCACTCTGTATCTCCTTCTACCTTAGCTTCCCAAGTGCAGAGGTTACAGGTGTGAACCACTACACCCAGATCTGATCTTGTTGGCTTTTAAATAATAGTCAAAGACATCTTGGGCCAGTGAAATGGCTCAGCAGGTAAAGGTGCCTGCCACTTGATGGTGCACACTTGACCACCAGAGTTTGGTTCCTGACACCTACATAAGAAGAAAATAGAGAGACAGTTCCACAAAGTTGTCTCCTAACACACACACAAGGCACACAGGCATACATATACAGTCACTCACACACACGCATGCTGGAGAACTCACACACACACACACACACAATACTAATAATAGGAACTAACATGATACTGATAATAGGAACTAAAATTTTTTATTTTTTCCTTTTTATTTATTTTTTTTGAGACAGTATCTTTCTATGTAGGCCTGCCTGTCCTGGAACTTGCTATGTAGAACAGACTGTCCTTGAACTCAGTGATCCTCCTGTCTCTGCCTCCTAAGTACTGGGTGTCAGGGTACAGTAAGTGCCACCAAGCCCAGCAGGAACTAGAAACTGTAAAAAGACACCGCTTACCTTTCATACAGCATATGTACAATTATAAAACAGCAAATACGTATATGGGTCATTTCGAGAAAGATAGAAGCATCAAAATGTTTTATTTATTTTATATAATTTAAATTTATTTATTTTATATATTTGGCATATTTTACCTGCATGTATGTCTGTACCACATGCATGAAGAGTCCATGGAAGCCAGAAGAGGACATCTGATCCCCTAGGGGTACAGTTACAGATTGTGAGCTACTATGTATGTAGGTACTATGTATGCGTGCTGGGAACTAAACTTGGGTCCTCTAGAAGAGCAGCCGGTACTCCTAATCACAGAGCCATCTTTCCAGCTCTACTTTTTTAATATTTCGCTTGTAATTTATTAATTTTTATTTTATATGCATTGGTACTTTGCCATGGGTGTCAGGTCCCCTGGAACTAGAATTATAGACACTTATGAGCTGCCATGTGGGTGCTAAGAATTGAACCCAGGTCCTCTGAAAGAGCAGTCAGTGCTCTTAACCACTGAGCCATCTCTCCAGGCACCTAATATTTCTTAAAATTTGAATTGTGCATATGGGTGTGGTACACATGAGTACAGGTGCCTTCTGAGCCTCTGGAGCTGCCACTATAGGAGGTTTAAATTGCCCAACATGGGTGATAGGAACTCCTACAAGGGGAGCAATTGGTCTTAACTGCTAAGTCATGTCTTCAGCCCCTTAACAAAAACCTCTGACAGAATATCATGGCCTTGAAGAAATTGATAATACAGTTTGGATTCACATATGCTTACACATAGAAGAAAATATAATAATTAAAATTAAATAGAGTTTGAAACTTCTGTACTGTACAAATATTTTTGGGAAGGTAGTCTGATGAACCGCACAGCCAGGTCTACGCACAATAACAGTAACTTTTCTTTTGTTTCTCTTTTTAAAGCATGCTTTTCTTCTTTTTTATTAATTAATATTTTACATTCCAATTTCAGTTCCCCCTCCCTCCTCTCCCCCACTCCCTTACTCTCCCCACCTCCCTTCTGCTCCTTAGAAAGGGTAAAACCTCCTCTAAGAAGTCTACTAAGTCTGTCCCATCATCTAGTTGAGGCAGGACCAAGGCACCTCTCCACCCCCACACCCCTGTGTCTAGGATGAGCAAGGTATCTCTCCACATAGAATGGGCTCCATTAAGTCAGTTTGTGCATTAGTGTTAGATCTTGGACCCACTACCATTGGCCCCATATATCCTCCCAGTCACACCATTGTCACCTACATTAATGTTGGACCCTTCGATACACATTAAGGGAGTCTAGTTCTGTTTTATGCAGGTTCCCTTAAAGCATGCTTTTCTTAGTAGTGTCTTGTTAGGTGTTCATGGCCCCATCCTCTGTCTTGTGGCTGTTTGTTCATCTTTTGTCTGATCCCCATAGTCAGCTTTAGTAGCATGGTTTCCCAGCTCACTCCCCCTTTTTCCTCTCTTTTCCAGGCACCTGCTGAGGTTTTACAGCTTGCCTGCCCTGAGGTTTTTGGTTGGTTTTTTATTTTTTATTTATTTATTTTTGTTTCCCTCTAATAAAATTGTCCCAGTGCTTCTGAAAAAATATACTTCAGAAGTCAAAACCCTATTTACAATTAGGAGTTTCTGAAAAACATATATTCATTCACAGACATAAAAATTTGGAGTTTGGGGCTGGGAGTGTAGCTCAGTGGTAGAGGTCTTGCCTAGCCTGTGCAAGGTACTGGGTACCATCTCCAGCAGTACAAAACAAACACTAGCATTAACAACAAAAACCCAGATTGGACATTTACCTGTGACAAGACAAAGTTAAAGTTGCAATGGGAACTGGTAAGAAAACAATAAAGGCAATACTTTATGTCAAACCTTGGCTATGATTGAGTTTATAACAAAAAGATTAGTGAACTTCTATAGCTTTTTTACTTCATCAACCTAAGTGCTCAAGAAATGTAACTCGTTTTTTTTTGCAGTGGAAATCACCATTTTTTCTTTTGTGAACCTCACAAAGACATACGTGATCATTCTCATCTGAAAGACCTTTCAAATCAACTGATATCATTCATTTCTGTGACCCTCTTGACTTCTAAAATTGATTTTGTCGGACCGACAGCCTCCAAAATAATACAGAGAAACCCTGTTTCGTAAAAAACAAAAAAAATTGATTTTGTCACTCTGTGTTGTCTCAATAAGAGAAATTCAGGAACAGTGGTGTAGTCCTACCCCTAAATAAGACAATCTCAGTCCAATCTGACAAAACACATGACACTCCTACATCACACTGACACGAACTCCTTTGGATGCCTCACTTGACTCTATCTAAAAAGAGGAAAACACTATTCTGATTCCCTGATCCTTCTCCCAAGTACTGGGAATCAAGCCCAGGATCTAGACATCATAGAGGACATTATCACCGAGCTATGTTCCCAGTCCTGGATTCTACATTTGCATCACTTCAAGCCACTTGGGATTTCATTTCTCATGTGCTCAGGGATCTCAAAGTTGAATAGGGAAAACGGCTCTCGCCTTTTATTAAGGCACATTCAATATTTGGGTGTTTTTTTTTAAAAAATTTCTTTACTTAGGTAATTCTTCTACTCTGAGGAAGTATACCTTATTTAGACTTGTCTCTATTCCTATGCCACAAAACAGAAGAGCAGTTTCACAAACAAGCTGTTTCACAAACACAGGGTTTGCGAATTAGATGTCAACCTTCACAAAGTGCAGAGCTGAGGCTGCAGCTCTAGGGAGGGTAGAGAACTTGCTTAGCATTCCTTAAACCCTGGGTTTAATCCCCAGTACTGGGGGCAGGGGGGCATGGTGGTACAGGCCTGTGATCTCAATGCTTTAGAGGTAGAATCAGGAGGGCTAGGAATTTAAAACCAAACTGGGCTACATAGTGTATTGTAGATCAGTCTGGGTAACATGAGACCCTATCATGAACAAAAAAGTAGAACATTTATCATAAAATACTTACTTTTAGTCTCCCTGGGAAGAAGGTAAAGATTAGAAAGCTACAAACACACATTCCTCTGGAGAAGCATGAAGCTTCAAATGTGAAGTATTGTACTCTTATAGACAAATTCAACAGGGTACTTTACTAGTCCCTACCACTACGACCCCCTGCAGTCTTCCAAGAGTCTCAGGCGACATTTAAAACATGTTTACATCTATTAAGCAATATTTTATTATTTTAAATCTTCATATATGGATACAATGTGTTTTGATCATGTCCACCCCCCAAGACCCTCTAAGAAGTCTTCCTCCAAATCTGTGACTTATTTTATTTTTGTTATTAATAACCACCTGTGTTCAGTAAATGCCAACCATACATGAATGGATGTGGAACCATTCACTAGGTCATGGGCAACCTACCAACAGTCACAACCCCAAAGACTCTCCATCCCTCAACAGTTAATCAACTAATAACTGCCAACAGCTACTTCCCTGTGGATGAGTTCTCAATAGTCCCTCCTCCCATGATGGAGTTTTCATTGGCTTGCTCTTGTGGGTCCAGGGGATTGAACTTGGGTCATCATTATTGGTGGCAAGCACCTTTACCTGCTGAACCATCTGGTCACAAATTCCAAATCTTCTTTACATATTTACTTTATCTGTATCGCTCCTCTCTAGCCTGTATACCATTACATATTATCATCATAGTAATAGATAAAAACACAGGCTGGGAACTTGTCTTTGTTGACATAATGTGTAATTTTCTTTGTGATTAATTCTAAGACCTCCCTTTTTTGTGGTGTTGGGTATGAAACCCAGGGCTTACACAGGCTGAGAAGCACCCTACTATTGAACTCTTCATGGAGAGTTTTAAGGACCTTCTGTTTTCACATTACAAATCATTGTACTAAACAATTGTAGACTTAAACGGTTAAACACAATTGAAACAACTATTCAAAAAATAAGTTTTCCCTACCAGCACTTCTAGAATCCATCCAAAACTTGGGGTGGCCTGGGGGGAAGGCTATAGAAATGAGAATGAAAAAGTAAAGCAAGAAATCAGGACTAATGAACTACTTTCTAAAGCAAAAGTGAATTGACTGCCTGGGTGACATCAACTTCTGGAGGCAGGAGGACAGTTTGTCATCCGGCTCTGGGCTACATGAGATCAACCCCCAACTCTTGCTCAAACAACAAAACAAAGAAGTTAATTAGTTTGAGCCCCCAAAGCAGGGAAGAAACAGGATATGCAGCTGTTGTTCTGAGCTTAGGTAGTTTGCATGAGTGGACCCCAGTAGGGAAGCAGAGCCTCAATAATGCAGGTGATGGAGGGGTCCTCC